AATCTCCATGGCAACCATTCAACTGTGCAAAAAGCCTGGGTGGACCTAGCTCCACCTTCGAGACGCAGCTCCTCCTTGGAGAAGCAGTTTCCAACCTTCTGCCTCACAGAGGCCCCTCCCCCGCAACTCCCCTACTCAACTCCTTCAGACTAGCCAGCATCAATTAGCAAACTTATCTTAATTTATTTATTTTTGATGCCAATGTACACACACAAATGGAACGATGGGACCTGATGCACAAATAAATAACATTTTTACGTTTTCATAATTTGCTCAGTGATTGTGTAAAAGAAGGTGAGCAAAGTACTTGTGCAGATGTGTGCTGCTGGCTCAACAATCATTAATCAAGTAGGACTAAGATCACCGCAGAAAATGAAGGAAACACTCATGATGTTAAAGCTCTTTTAAATGAATGAAGGGGAGAAACAAGGGATGAAAGGAGGTGAATTAGAGCATAAATCCGTATTGAATTACACTGATATCATCTCTTCTTCTCTGGTTTTAATTCCTGATTGCGTTTCAGACATCCACTTCACTCGTTGTTCCCTTTGAGTTTCAGAATAAAACCCGAGTTTTGCCGAAGGAGTGGGGGGAGTAACAGCTGCCGGGTTGATCGATACGGATGTGTTTACAAACGCAAAACTCCTGATGATGAACAAACATTAACTAGAACATACCGGTTTGACTCTCGTTCCCTCTGCACTCCTGCGCTCTCCCTTTTGCCGTTAATAGTGTAAATTAGCATATAAATGAGAGATAGCACGTGAATGAATCCGCCCTGCTTCAATCGGTCCATTGGGACATATGATTACCATTTTCACCTAATTTTTTTCCCCCCTTCCCTCACTCACTATAACTTATTTCCTTCTCTCTGTCTTGCCTTATTGCTTTATTTTCCTCCCCGATATTGTCGCTGTCAGTTCATTTTTGTAGTTTTTTTTTTTCATGTTCCCTTTCGCAGTAATTAATCAGTGAGTCTTCCCATTTTGTGATTATTTGTTTACCTGAAAGTGTGTTCAGCCTGCCTCTGTGTGCAGTTAGTGTAAGTGAACTTAATTGCTCCTGACTAATTAGCGGATGAGTCGAGGCATTTGGGATGTTAGCGATCACGCGGCGTACGAACGTCCTCGTAAACGCGCACACGCGCGTTTTTATATCAAAACGGGCACAAAAACACTTTTCTTGCACCTCGTGTTTTTTTTGTGTTAAGTGTTCGTCTTTGGCTCCGTTCCTCCCCCCCTACCTCGCCACCCTGTCTTTGCTTTGTGTCCCCAGCGACACAAAGCCCAGCGATACACAGCGGGAGGTGTTAATGATGTGAGGGCTCAGTGTTCTCTGCTGGGAGTGATCTGTTGTGTGTCAGCTTCTGTCTGTCACCACACAAATGGGAGAAAAGACAAAAAAAAAAAAAACACACACACACACACACACAAAAAACATCTTTATTGTTTCCATATGTGTGTTTTTCATTTTGTTTGACTCATCTCAATAAATTAGAATATCTTGGAAAATGTATTTATTTCAGTAATTGAATACATATTAAAATGCATCTCTTATTATTGTCATCATTATTATTATTATTATTATAACAATAATAATGTGTTTAATTTATTTCTAAAATTTAGATGATTATGTCTCACAACTAATGAAAAT